CTAAGCCTACACTGGTTGCCACTGCACCTCCACGCGCCCATGCTTCCACGATCAGCTTTGCGTTCCAGCTGCCATGGCCCAGCCGGCCGCCATGGTGGATAGAAAGTCGGCCACACCAGACACTTTTGGTAAGGCAACGTCATGGTACATGGTGTTTTTTCATTTAATTAATCCTACTTGTCTTTGTTTTGAATGTCATTAATTATTTTGGGTTGTTTCCGACTCCAAGGTATTTTGGGGTAACTTTGGAGAAATTATTTAAAAGTGCTGAGACTTGAAAATGGATCAATTTTGTGTCATTTTTTACTTATATGTCAGTACGTAGTTAATCGGATTAAAGATTCATGAACTATGTAATAATTTCTTCTAAACTTTTATTTAGGTGGCCTCATTCGCAAATAGTGGACAATGTCATAATTCATAAAAGATGGTCCATTTGTTCACCCATTCTTCTCTGAATCTGATCCATCAAAATGGAAAATTTAGTTCTGAGAGTCGGTAAAGGAAATAGCTATTGAGGGATCAAAAAATTGCAATGGATAAAATGCTTTGTGACACATTATAACAAGTTTTTTAATTTATTTGGTAATAATAATTTTTAATGCACTTCAATTGCTAATTTTATAATAATATCTTCTAATAGAGTGTAGCTATCTTTATAAAAAATATATATAAAAGAACGAAATTGTCTAACTGTCTAACGATAAAGAATTATTTAAAATTTATAACCTACAATTTTAAAAGGAACTAAAATTAATGACTATTAAATGTTACTAATACCAAACACATCTAAACATTAATTTTAAAAAGAGAAGTGATAGATCTTTTAACCTCAATTGACAACTCACTCTCCGAATATAACGTGGTTGGGAATGAGTCGAAAAGAAAGAGATGTTTACGGAGTTTTGTTTTAAGAGTTCCAATGTGATCCAACCACGTTATATTCGGAAAATGAGTCGGCAATTCAAATCGGAAAACCTATCATTTCTCTTTTAAAAAATATAAACAATGTGCAAAAACACACTCACTGTAGTTTAAGCACGTGTATACAAGTTCCTAACGTCTCAAAATATATGCAAATTGTCTTCTAAAATGTGTCCATTGTCAATTTTGACCAATTACTTTTTATAAAGATTCCAAAAATACCCTTGATAATCTCTCTCTCTCTACTTTTTCATTGTTTTTTTAATTATTTAAGTGCAATTTAGGTATTTCAATTTTCAAATTGAAGAATTGCCCTTCTTTGCTCGATTTGAAAAACTAAGGATATTTTTTGAACACTGTAAGTTTTGTATATAGGTGAGGTTTTTTTTTTTTGGTACCGTACCCTAGTTTAATTGATGTCATTTTCTTAACATACATTTATATATGCAAATATCAACACAATATTCGGTTTCATCCAAGAAAACGAAACATACACAATACATTGTGATAAGGTAATTCATAGTGAGGTAAACAAAAAGTCAAATTGATGAGGTAGACCAAGAGTTAGTACGACTTGCAGCTAAAGAAGCCTTCAATTATCTGGGTTAGCTGATTTCAAATCAAATAAAGATTGATTTGATCACTTGAAACGAACCAATAAGAGAGTTCAAATTCAAAGAGCTGATAAGCTCCCTACAAAATCTCCTCGTATCTACAACAAACTAAGAGAGATCCAACTATGAGAAGAAGCTCCATCTAACCAATGAGGTATATATATATTTTTGATAAGTAAGAATTTATTAAAAAGGCTCAAAAAGGGGAGCGGAACCCAAAGATACAAAACAAAAGGCTAAAGGGCGCCTTAGACCTTCAGAGAGGCCAAAAAAACAATAATTTCCTCTGTAGATCTATTATCTCTCCCTGAAACCCAGCAAAAAAGAGTACAAATAATAGAGAACTTAAGCATAGAAACATGCTTCTCTTTTCCATCAAAATATCTCTTATTTCTCTCGAGCCAAATACACCACCAAATACAAAGCGGCGTACCCCTCCAAGCATCTTGAATGGAAGCCCCAACGGATATGCCTCTCCAAGCTTCAATCAACCCTCTAGAAGAATAAGGCATAACCCATTGAACCCCAAATAAACCAAGCATCAAATCCCAACAATCTCTGGCCATACTACAATGTAAAAGGAGGTGATCAACGGACTCCTCATTACACAAGCACATATAACACCGATTGACCACCACCTGATTCCTCCTCCTCAAATTGTCCTGGGTTAAAATCTTGCCTAAGACTGAGGTCCAAGCAAAAAAGGCGACCTTGCAGTGAGCCTTGGAACGCCAAATAGACTTTCATGGGAAGGGTTCTCCGTGATGAAACGAAAGGCATCTAAAAAAAGATCTAACCTCAAAACGGCCTTGCGGGTTAGGAACCCAGAACCAACAATCCGACTCCCCAAAAGAGATCACCTGGCTATACAAAAGCTCCAGAAAGTGAGAAACATCCTCGATCTCCCAATCCTGAAAATGCCTCCTGAACTGAACATCCCAAGTCAGTCTCCCGTTATCAAGATGATAACAGTAAACAACCATGACCTGTCGGTGAGAAGCAATCCTATAAAGCCGTGGGAAAGCGAGAGCAAGAGGACGTTCCCCACACCAGATATCCTTCCAAAAACTGATCCTCCTTCCATCTTTAATTCGAAAGCGAACATGCTTGCAGAAATCATCCCAACTCCTCCGAATGAAATTCCAAACTCCCACCCCCCTTGGGCCACGCCTCGCCAGAGAGCACCACCCACCGCTACTTTCCCCAAATTTGCTCTCAATAACTCTCCTCCAAAGCCAATGCCTCTCTATCCCAAACCTCCATAGCCATTTACCAAGGAGAACCTTATTAAAAGGCAACAACCTCCTTAACCCTAAGCCTCCAAACCGAATTGGACAGCACAGTTGATCCTACCGAACCAAGTGAACCCCCCCCCCCCCCCCCCCCCAAAAAAGGAAGTTGCATTGCAATCTTTCAATTCTCTCGGCCACTGAAGAAGGAATCTGAAACAGAGAGATGAGCTCCAACAACTAACTTGATGGTCGGAGACCTCTTGATAGGCACCGCACTGGTGCCGGACAAGGTTCCCCTTTGTGTTGCAGGAAAATGGTGCGATTTTCCGGACAAGGTTCCCCTTTGTGTTGTAGGAAAACGGTGCGATTTCGGGTCGTACAGAATCTCGCTTCAACTTTGGAACAACAACATTATTATAAGATTATATAAATAAACATGATAAAGACTATTCAATAAGTCAGTGTCCTTTGAGATTAAAATGCATATAACAACAAAGATTGCGAGGAGCCAAAATCAGATTAAAACAGACCTGAGCAACTTTGTATACCCAACTCAACAGACACACCTAAATTCTTCAAAGTAGCTAAATTATATAATATCTATAAATAAATAAAAAATAAAAATCTCCCCTTAATTGACCAAATTTAAATTCTCAGCACGAAGATGTATTATGTGATTAGGATGAAAAGCAAGGATGGGATAAAATACAATATAAACAAAGCCATCTGACAGGTTTGCTTAGGTTTCAGACAGAAGGAAATATTAGTGCATGGGCAGCTATTTCTTAAAGCATATTTCTGTGTGTGTGAGAGAGAGAGAGAGAGGCAATAATGGAGAAAATATTTGAGAATTCTGAAGTCATCGTTGTGCTCATTTCCTCTAATATTGTTTAAGGCAGTCCTTTTATTTGTCGGAGTACAGGAAAGTTGGCGCTAGCTGTTGTGGTGTTGTGCATGCATCATGTGACGAACATGTCGCATAAGATGCATGGTATCATTCTCTCCCTAAGATTAGCCAAGATAACAACCTGACTAAAAATATTCAACTGGACAAATCCTCCATTTCAATTGTGTCATAGAACCTTTAGATCCCATGTTAGACCGTGTTGCAACCCCTGAGGTCAGACCATTGTCGTGCATTGAGTTTGAGGAGTGTCCTGGACTGTTCAGTTGACTCAGCAAGCATAAGATGATGCATCAAGGTACATAGGTGTCCAAAGGAAGTTTAGGTAGGGTCTGAGGTTGAAGAATTGCGATAAGAGATTAAATGGTAGAAGATATAGTTCAAGGTGAGTGGGATCTCCGAATAGGAAAGAACTTTGCGATAACAATGATTGCTGGTTGCTTTTGACTGTGGGTGGATGCTAAAAAACAACCCTGCCTTTGCCTTTCACTAGTTGAAAAATATTTACATGCTAGGGCTTGCTATGCAAGAGGCTGCCCCCATTGTGGGTTATGGGGAGGGGTTAGATATGTACGCAGCCTTACCTACATATGTATGTTCGTATTATTTCCTTTGCTTCTCCCGGACTAAAGATTTGCTCTTTTTGAGGACTTAGTATTTGCATTCATGGGCAACTCACTTAACAAATAAGCAAGGTGGTTGCAACTAGTTAAAAACCATACTCTGATAGTCATATTGTGAGAACGACAATCTATCTTCAGCTCTACGGGCATTGATGGACCTGTAGTAAGAGTGGTATGGTCAAGCTCAACATCAACTTTGACAGAACAGTCAATAGTACTGAGAAATGTTTGGTTAAGTACATAACCAAATGTGGGATTGAAGGTTAAAAGAGGGCTAAAGATCAACATATGAATCTTTTATGGACACAATGAACTAGAATTCTAATGAAAGAGAAACCAGGGTGAAGACACTCACTTTTATGCAATGCAGGTTGAATCCTACCTTGCAACAACAATAAAACATAACCCAGTTTTCTATTCATGTTATTTATTCATTGGGATATTTTTCTTCCATATATGGTGCGTATGGACTAAATAAGCAAGTAAATTAATTTTGAATCGTATTTGCTGCAAAAAGAAAAAAGAAAATTAGTCCTAACAGGGATCGAACTCACAAGTACTTCTCATAAAAGCAATGAGAATAACCGAGTTACAGAACAATTACAACCGATATATATATATATGTAAGAAACTGAGCTCGAGCCAATGTCTCAAACTCCTTCAATATATGTTTGTATTTGTATTTTTTTTTTTTTTTGGGCGGGGGGAATTCAAGTTCAAGACCAAGTGTGCTTGAGAGCGGCCTTGCAACTAATGTTTTGTGTAAATGAGTTTTAACTTTTAAGTTGAGTTGAGCTTATGTTATGTGAAACATTGGGAATCCAAGCTCTGCTCGAGCTCGAGCTTGATCCGAGTTTGAACAGTATGAAATTTGGTGTTCTATCTTTATTTATCTGATACTTTATTTGGCTCAGTTCACCAGTAGTCCTATTTAACCAATTACAGCCTAAATAAATGCAACATGGCCCCAGTAGCATGCAATTAAGCAGGACCTACTTATCAAATCAAAGTCTCGTGTAATTATGAATCCTCATATGCCACTGGAAACAACCAAGATGGAAAAGGAGAAAAAGGTTGTTACCTAGTACTGGCCGACTAATTGGAATTTTGGAAGATGAAGATTAGAAACAGACCTAAAATTTGTCATTATTTTTCACAAACTAGCTGTTGTGTTCGCAGACTTATCAGTTCGAGCTTGCCAAGGATGTTACTAAGTTAATATGGTGGTAATGGGTTGGTGGGGGAACCTAATTGCACATGAAACCCAGTGCTGAGCCCAGCAATGATATTTGATTAATAACTCTGAATAAGGGACCAAAAAAAAAAAAAAAAAGCAACAAAGAAAAAAGCACCAATCTCATCAAGATGAGACCAAGTTCAAGTTCTTACAATTGCAAGATTTTCAATTAATGCAGCTCTCATTAATCAAGTCGGGAAATAATCACCATTCTGAAAAGGAAATTTTTAGAACAGAATGCAACAACTCGCCTCAATTCCCATTAAAGGCGGCATTTCAACCTGGGTGCATGCTAAAAAAGTTATACCCTCGCAAACAACTTGGAAAAGGTAATGTGTCGGTGAAGCAATTTACAGGTGCAACCTATTAATTAACAGCAGAGAAGTTAAAATGACATGAGTGATAAGCAGACAAAATACATACTGCAGTTTGATGAACTTGATGCACTTTGCACTTACCTAAGGAAAATAAGAATAATAATAATGCACTTGGCACTTGAGTCCCTCAAAATTGAAATGAAATGAGACCCAAATGTTCAGTAAAATGTTAAAGTTAACTACATATTAATTTTATTATTATTCTTATAGGTACCTTGAAGGGATCACCCTGAGAGATTGCTTGCTCCCAAAATCAAACACAAATGGCCCAATCAACCCGGTGCCTGTTAGCATTACCTCCCTGTAAATACATACACAAATCACAAACAAATTTTTTTTTCCCCCCTCATTTTAAAAACCAATGATTGGAATCACAGTAAGTATATCATAAGGAAACATATCTTCATTCTTTTTCCCCAATTCAGATGACTAAAAATAGTAAATACCAGTTTGATTCCAATTCTATCAGAATCTTATACATAAAGGCACAGGTATGAATGGTAATTGTTAAATTCTATATTTTCTTTTATTTTCCATCGACTTCTCGGCAGCCCAATATCTCATTATGCAAAATTCAGCAAAACAATGAACAATTCAATATTTATAACATGGATAAGATATACAGACAGATCAAGGTAGTGAATTTGGGAAACGAAGATGTTTATGGTTCATATAATTATAAGTACGAAGAAATGAAGATAAAAGAGGGATAAAAAAAATTGTAAATTACCCAGAATCTGATAGAAGAAATATACACTGCAACATCTCTCTGGGATCAACAAAAGCTCGCAACTTTCTACTTTTCGGTTTCAAGATCCCAGAAAGATGTGGTTGAAGTTCACTATTCAGAGTCTATTCTATATGTATGGACTGGGCTTAAAAACTTGTGCAAAGTTGTCAAGTTCAGAGTTGGATCTGCTGTATGTCCTGTGATTAACACTACTTCCTTGCAAACAAATCCCATCTTGGAATCTCTTCAAAACCCTTCACACCCACTAGGGTTTACACAAACTTGCCCTAGGGTTTCAACTACACACCTAGAGCTTTACAAACCATGCTCTGATACCATGTTGACTTTAAGATATAATCAAATTAAGAGTAAGTGATAAAGAAGAAGAAGAAAGCGGATGAGAGAAAAAGAGAGAGAGATGGGGAAAGAGAGAAGGAATGTAAGAATTCTTTCATCCTTCCACCACATTCTATTTATAATAAGAAGTTTCAGAAATTACACATAAGCCCCAACATCATATAAGTAATAACAAATAAGTCCCTGACAACATTTACATCTATAAATTCAGAGTTTTTTAATCCTTAATGACACAATTGAGAGGATTTCTGGGTTCCCAATCATGCAGTCATGGCTTACAAATTCCCAACTGCAACTCCTGCTGCATTTATACAGGGACGGATGTACATTCATGACAGTGGGGGCAATTTCCCCCACTGAATTTTTTTTTTTTTTTAGTAATCTACCCTTGTAACTTGTTTATTTTTAGTAATATACCCATTAAATATTACATTTGCCCCTTCTGAAATTTCTAAAAAAATGCACTATTGCCACCCTAAAATACATTTTTGCCACCCCTCCCCCTCTTACCTTACCTTACATCCTTGCTCTGTCCATGTTTACACACACACACACACACACGAGTATATGCACGGTATCTCATATATATATATATATAGCATATAATATATATATATATATATATATATATATATATACACAGACGTATATGCATAAATATAGTACTCGTGAAATTTAAATAATCCAATTCAGAAGAACGAATCTTCATACCAATAGCCAGTTTAATCGTATCACTATAATCAATTCAATAGTTGTTTAATCGTCTAATATGCATATTGAATTAAAACCACAAAATGCATGTGATACATACATTTTAATTTTTGATCTGATCTTGGTTTCTTCTCTCTTCAAAGCTTCTGCAGACAATCTTGTGTATAATGGGGAAAGCTAACTTCCCCATCTCCATGGGGAGGTTGAGACTTATCCCCATTTTTCTATTCCTTAAATGTCCTCAAACATAACAAAAAATGACTTATTTTAGTAGCATAATGTATAATTAAATTTACGGCAAGGGTGTAATATCATAAAGATTCCAAAAGGCAATCTGAAAATTCATGGAACCAAATGGCGGATCTTTTCAACGTCGTCTTCATCAGTGAAGATGACACTACTGTCATCTGGCAAAAAGAATGTAACATCAAGGACGACGATGGGTTGGATGCTTGACCGGAAAAAATGGACAACACCGGAAGAAAAATGCTTGGCTGGAAAAAAATTGACACCACCGGCAAAAGGATGCTTGGCCGAAATCATGGATGACTGCGGCAATGATCTGCGGTTGGTGGCCGGTGCCAACATAAATTTCACCGCCGCCGCAGATTGCTGTCGCAGCGAATCTGGCGAATGAACCACCAATCTCCACAACCACCACAGCCACCATCCCCATAGCCGACCACCACCACCAAAACCTCATAAGTGACGGTGATTTGGTGATGGACTGTTGGTAACATATAGAGAGACGATAAGGTTTGTGATTTGGGAGCTTAGGAGACAACAAGGCGGTCTAGTGTGATTCAAGGTGTAGGTTGGGGCTTATGCTTTGTTCGGTAGGAAGGAAGAGGGGTGGAAGGAAAATAGGAAAGAAGGAAAAAAAAAAAAAAAATTGTTCGGTAAATATACAATAAGGAAAGAAAGAATAATTGTATGGATAAATCATCCTTCCTTCTTCACAAATTTTCATCCCTTCAAATATGGGCAGAGGAGAGGAGAGGAGACAAGTGGGCCTATTAAGAAGTTTTAAATTTGATGGGTTTAATGGTTAAAAAAAATTTAAAACCCTCTCTTACCTTTTATCCTACCGACCAAAGTAAATTGACAGTCTCTTCTCCTCTTCCATCCAACCAAACAAAAAGAGGGAATGAGCACAATCTCTTCAGTCTTCTCTAGGGATTTCTCAATTATCCCTTCTCCTCCCTTCCATCTAATTTTCTTCCTTCCTATCAAACGAAGCATTATATTTAAAATTACATTTATACCCATATTTTTACGATGTGTCATGTACCAATGTGTCTATTTTTGTCCAACAAAATTTGGGACAAGTCTTAGCTTTCCCCATATATGTGTGTGTGTATAAAGATAATATTCTTCTTCCTTCGGCAATCATGTCCATCCATCAACGGCCACCTTCCCTTTCTATCCCCGCCACTGCCGCCGCCACCATCTTCTCTCTCTTACAAGATACTCCTCTCTCTCTCTCTCTCTCCCCCTCCCAAAAGTTTCTCTCTAATCATACAAATTGAAAAGGCTTCAACACTGACCTCTGCAAATTGAAACCCTAAAAATTTGTCCATTTGATGTGTGTATACAATATACATATCGAAAAGTTAAGAAGTGAATCAGTAACTTCCTCTCCAGTTCACATCAAGACAAAATTGAACCCCAGAAATCGACCAATTTAAACCATAATTTATCAGTCTCTGATTTTCACAATTTACAACAATTCGGTCTCAGACACAAGCTTTTCAGTTTTTATGTGCTGTTCTTTCGATCAATCCCTCTCCAAACACCAACCTCAACAAAATTTATAGATAGAGATAGAGATGAATTGAGAGAGCTGAATGTCGAGAAATTCAGTTGTGTTCTTTTGCTTTCCCTCGTTCAGTCACCCTTCAATTTAGGATATAAAATTGATAGAGATGGAGATAGAGATGGAGATGGAGAGAGAGAGAACAAGGCAGCTGCGACTTTTATTCGGTGAGGGTCGGAACAAAAAGTCTTAAGATCCAATACATCTCTATCACACAAATGTGATTGCATGTTTGATAAAAGATCAAATCTATATATATATATATTAGACATACTGTGTTAAGTCCAGCAAGCATGGTATTGAGAGCAGGATTCGAAGCAAGAAGACGATGAAGAGGTCGTGTAACCACATACCCAGATCAAAGGTGGCGAGGAAAGTAACCTCCAGATCGAATGGGGGCGAGGAAGGTAAAGAGGTCTGACACAATTTAGGGTTAAAAATCATTAAATATAGTAACAGTAAAAAGGTTAATTTTGTCATTTAAAGTTTATGCTTAGGTCATGTGACTGACACACTTTAATGTTAACACTCAATGGAACTCTAACAGACAACAGTTGGGGTATTCACAAAGAAATGGGATAATTTAGAAAGTTAACTGCACAAATAGTAGTTCCGGAGAATTTTTTGAGAGAGAGAATAGATCAAGGGGGTTTTATGCAATTAACCCTAAAAATGGTAAACAGCATTAATTTTTTTACTTTCTTGGTGTTCATCTTGATTTTCTCAACACAAACAATTATAGAAACAAAAAGAGAAAAAGATGATAATACAAACTTATTTAACTTATACATACAATCAATAGGAGAAAAAAGATAAACTACAAAACAAACTTATTTACGTTGGTTTCTTTAAATGAACTCCATGTTTCACATTTAAAACAAAGAAAACAAAATCCTTGCTACAATAGAGAAATATAACAAAAGCATCATTTAAACGAAAGTATTACTAGGTTGTTACATAAAGGAAAATCACAAAACCTGAACATCCATTAACAAGAAAATGACCTTGGTTCCTTTTCATAATTAGCACTTTTCATCTATCATCCCATTTTCTTCAAAAGGATTCCTAAGCATTTGAAAAATATGAAGAAAACAGTAAGAAAAATACAACAATTCCTTGGTGATGAGAAATGGAAATAATTCAATTAAGATGGAGAACAAGACCTTTACCTTTAAGCAGACAAATTACTAATACCCAAAAGTAAGTTCAGCATCTTTTCCAATTCTCTTAGACTTCATGCAGTATTCATGGGCCTCCAATAATTCATGGCAGTATGCATGAACTAAATGCAAAGGTGAATTACTAACAATATGCCAAAATTGACGCAATATTTTTTCAAATGAAGGACAATGAAGATGGAAAGACTTAAGGATTTACCAAAAGAATGTAATTTGTGATTAGGTCTCTAATAGTATATGAACTATAGGGATAAAATAGATAGTCTCATTAGCAGAGGATTAAAGCGTAGATGATGGTTACTGAAACTCGGAGAAAACTTCCTCTACATGTTGTGTAATCTAACTTCCACGCTATCATCGACCCCCCCAACAACCCCAAAAAAAAACTTTTAAAATCCAAGCTAAGCAATAACTATTATCAACTTAAAAGAACATACCATGGCAAATGATGAAAAAAATAATAATAATGAAGACGAATACACTCCGACAGTCCGACCGATGTAAGCTTCGTCCTTACCAAGATTCTGTAATAACACAAGTTCATGTTAGAAAAAATGCTTTTATAGTTCATATCTAAGCAAGGAGGGGGAAGAATATACAAACTAGAAGAAGAAAGAACACAATGTACTAAAAAGTTGATCCTGGCTGATATAAACAGTGAACTCCTACAGCGGCCAACCTCCATGGATTATGCTGAAGAAATGATGAAGAAAGATATTTCACATCTTAAGCACCTAAAAAGAATAACATGACTAAGTAAAACCAAGGAACAAAATTACAGAAACATTAATAGGTATTTAAACAGTTTTAAATCATTATACGTATATGAGAAATATCCACAAACAATCAGAACTGTGAAGTATTATTGTAGCATAAATGCAGAGGAATTAGAACCAAATAATGTTCTTTCAGCCATTTATGAAATTAATTTTGAGCTCCTAAGTGTAGATTCATTGGAAGGAAAAGATTTCAAATACTAAAATAATTAAGCAAAATAGCAATGATACTCAGTTGCTATAAATTTTCTTTCCACTAGAATAGTCAGTTTCATTTAATGTTTACAAAAAGTCTACAATTTAGAGTTGTGAGTTGTGACATTCCATTCAGATTTCACCATTCTCCAACACTGTTTTTCCTTCTGAAATCCAGTTTCTATAACTCAATTTGGTGAAGTCAACATAAACAAGTCAACACACCCAAGTTAACAATTGATCAAGAATCATCATACCTTCAAGCCTGCCTAATACTAAACGGAGTGCGCACGCAGCAAACGCACACACACACACACAAAAACAAAAAAAACAAAAAAAAAAAAAAAAAAAAGAAAAAAATAGAGAAGAAAGAGAGAGAGATAATGAAATATCCTTTTACCTCATTCAGGATGCTTCCCTATCCTTACACTCGTATCCAACTCCCCACCTCCTTACATCCTCCATTCCAGGACACTTCGAAACGTAGATAAACAAGTGTGTCTACATACATATATATTCCTATGATCATTTTATTAAAACTCAAAGAACCTCAACAAACAGAACAAGAGGCCAGAGCCTCCAAACAATACACTAACGGTCCTTAACAAAGGACCACTTACAAAAGGAAGCCAAAAGAAATTTCAGAACAAAAAATTCAGAAAAAGAAAAAGGATTAACAAAAACAAAAACACCATGATCCCAGCAACTAAGACCAGGGCCACAAACACCTGAACCACATCACCGCAATTTCTTATTCAAAGCCAGAACCCTGCACACAAAGCCCCATATGTAGAAACCCCACCGCTCAACAATTAAGAAGACCTATAAATCGTGCAGCTGCAATCCCAAAGAATCAGATACATTCCACATAAACATCATCATGGAGTCTTCTATTTCTAGACCACCACATATGCCTAATAGTAGTGGTAAAAATCTGTTTCGTAACCTTGCTTCTCAAATTATTCCCAGCTGAATTAATAGAAAACCACTTAACCAACCACTCAAAACAACTCACACAATTCCAATTCCAGAAGAAAATAATAGATAACCATTTCCATATCAGTGAGGAAAGTCACAGCTGAAGAATAAGTATGAGCAAGTATATTTTTCATTAAAGGAAAATAATTATAACGAAAGCTCTGACAAATTATTAAATCAAATTATCACAATAGCAGTTCATTGGATTTTGCAAGCTAAAATATATCTCATAGACCCCCAAAAAGAAAAAAAAAAAAAACCATCTATTTGGCCAATCTTAAGATGATTATGAATATGCACATGCACAAACAAATCAACATGATGAAAATGCAAACAAAGCATCAATTTTTTTTATAAATACAAACAAAAAGCATCAATGAACTAATCCAATGCCTTTTTGACCGCATCAAGAAAACTTGTAAAAGTAAGAAAACCCATTATACAAAATCTATAAAATTTGCATTTTCATAAGCAAAAACTACTATACACATGATAAGAACGAAAGTATCACGAGATTATCATGTGTATAGTATATGTGGGTTGTGTTAGATTTGCAAACCCCAAGTTAACTGAAATGTGAAAAATATATAAAATATTGGACATTGATTATATTTATAAATTGTTTCTCGAAACATACACAATTGTTACCCAAAACAAGCAAAAAGAAAGAAACTGGCAATCCAAAAGCATTAATAAAAAAAAAAATAAAAAAGTTATCAAAGAGAGAAAAAAAGAAAAAGAAAAACGAATAGATCGAACAAGAAAAGGCAACATGAAAACGAATGCATATATATATATATAACCTCACCTGGTAAAGCCGTGAGAAAGATGACCGAGAGATTGACAATTGGTGAGAAATTTGGGTCAATGAGAGATCTGGTCGGTGAAAACTTCGTACGAGGAACAGAGATGCTTCGGCAAAGCTAACTAGTTCGATTAACCATTTGTTTGATGCCACCACTGACTCGTTCTCGCGAGATTTGGGAGGCAGAAGCATGGCTGGGCCAACGATTGGAGCAATGAAAGCTTCATTGGTGAGAATTTCGATCAAGATCGGCGGGCTTCAATATCTTGTAGAGATTTGATAAGGGTTTTATGGGGGTATGAAGATGATATATGGGAGAGAGAATTCGAGTGTTTAGTGAGGCATTATGAGGTTATAGAATGTGTGATGAACAACAAACAGAATTCGAAAATGTAAAGAGAGGGATAGTGGGGAAAAGCATTGAAAATTTATGATTTGTGCCATTTATTTTAGTTTTTGCCACAAAAATTATTGTTTAAGCCGATTAAGTTAGCTTTCTCCACAAAATTTAGTGTTGCGTCAATCAGTACATTTTTTTTTTTTTGTTTTAATTTCTCTTTTTTTTTTTTTTTTTTTTTTTGTTTCATCTTTCTCCTTCTTAGGGATTTGGTTCATAATCGGTAAATATAACTATCTATCACAAAAGGGCAGAAAAACAGAAACATCATTATAATTTGTCGTATGCCTACTATATACGTGTTATTAATTCATTAATCGTGACGACGAGCACAACAAATTTATCTTTGGGCATAGCAAATAAAAGTGAAAGAATGGGTAGTAACATTTCATTAACAAATTGAATTCTGCTACACTTAATGCTCTCGCCCAAAAAATCTAATCTTTCTTCAAATTGGCATTTCTAAACGACATACCGGACAAGAGTGATTTGTCTGCAAGGAATAATGCAGTCTCCATGGTATGGCAATGGCAGCGAGTGACCACTTCCACTCCAAGATGAAACTTCTGAAAAAGAACCATCATCTATCTCCAAAATTCTTTGATTCGAGTAAGAAGCAAGTTAGAGTGTTGGGCTTGCAATTTGAGCTGAATGCAACAAATATTAATTAAATATTTATATTAAGACACGATGTCTAATATTATCTCATCCCCTTCCAAAATATAAAAGGTTCTCTTCAAAAGCATTTTGAGACTTATTCGTCAAGAAAAAATTTAAAAATATACAAATAATTTAGTTAAAATTCATTATATAAATTTTTTTTGACATGTGCGCACGTAATGAATGTTTTGTAACTTATTTTATTATTTGGTAAATTATTTATTAAATAATTAACTATTTTTAGTTGTTTTAATAATGATTTGAAACTCTTTTATTTTAATTCATTTTATTTATAGAATCTCTTTTATTTTAATTCATTTTATATCAATTAATAAATATTTTTTATATTAATAAATAAATACTGAAATACTGAAACTCTTTACACTTTTAATAATAGTATAGATATTGATATAGATATATACACGCACAAATATCTGTTTAATTTATAGATCTAGCTATGCATATAAAATTATATAAATTTGTTTGTTTGTGTGATATACTTGTAAAGTATTAAATTCTTTTAGGCTTTTATATATTGAAATATTGAATTTTGAAATTGGTGGTAGAGTTTAAGTTTGTAAATTACTAAATTCTTTTAGGTTTTTATATTAATACTGAAATATTTATATTTTATTTTTTTATTAATTAGAAAATATTTTATTATTTTAATACTAAAATTTGTGGTAGAGTTTGAGTTTTGCAAAGTAATAAATTTTTTTACATAATTTTAATTTTATAAGGTAATTTGTAATTTGAATTTTATTAGGTAATATTTAAAAAATTATATTTATATAATACAGAAATTCAATTATAATAATTTTTAATTAAATTTTAAAATAGAAATTCAATTAATAATTCTTGTCTAATTAGATTTTCTTTTATTAAAAAACTCATAATAAATTGATAAATAGGTAATATGTGTTAGAGTTTTATAGAATCTCTTTCAAAATATCTTTTTATATTAATTAATAAATATTTTTATATATTAATAATTCTTGTCTAATTAGATTTCCTTTCATTAAAAAATCTTAATAAATAGATAAATAAGTAATTTGTGTTAAAGTTTTATAGAAACTCTTTAAATATATCATTGTCTAATGTGATACAGTTTTATTAAAAATAAAAAGGGTAATTTGTGGTAAAGTTTTATAGAAATTATTTTATTTTTTTTAAATATATCATTGTCTAATTAGATTTCCTTTCATTAAAAGATCCCTAATAAAAGGTAATTTGTGGTAGAGTTTTAGAGAAATTATTTTATTTTTTATATCAATTAATATTAATGGTGTGTGTGTTAATTTAAATTACAAATTACTCAATAAAATTCAAATTATGTAAAAAATTATTTAATAATATAAATAAATAAATACTTATTTAGCAAGTGTAGAGGACTAAATTCTAGAGTCTTTTGTAATTGCGTGGAGTGTTAGAGGATTATTATTGAATGTTGTACTAGTGTGTGGAGTAGAGAATATTCTAGAGACATAGAGAGTTATGTAACCTTGTAAATATATAAAACAGATTTTAGAAGTGAATCTTAAACGTTGATGAGAATGCGTCATAGTCATTCATGGTGGAAAAAATACCTATTTAGGAACTCATTTGTAGCCAACAAGTCTTAGGGTGAGTGTATAGAATAGAAGAGGATATGAGTGCTTGCCCGGCACTACAACAATAGTAATTGCACCAGTGGAGAAATCTTTAGTCCCTTAACAAATTGGTTTAGTTTTCAAAATGATTATTTATTTTCTCAATAGTAGAATCAACATATTAATGGAGCGTAGGAAAGAAAAAAATTTGTTTGGCCATATAAGACTAAATAAATCGTAACCTAACCCCGATTTGTTTATTTTTATATATACGGTAACGACCTTTGCAACAGCTTGTGGCAAACAAAATATGGTATTTTTGTTCTTTTTCATCCAATCAAAAAAAGAAAGGACGCAATTTCTTATATTCTCTCTTTCATCCAATTTTCTTCCTTCGTACCAATGGATAATAAAACAAGCAACCTCTTTTTTAAGAGGTGGTGGTCAAAAGGATTGAAGAAATTTAACCTTTTAACATTATTTGCAAAAGTCGATTGTTCCGAACTCCTTATATCCCCGCATTAGCATTTCGTAAAAAGAACCAATTCTGAAACTTATACGGTGTTAAGTTGGATGGATTGGTGTTTAGTTGGATGGATTGAGAAAGGATGGAAGTGAGGAGAGATGGGATAAATGAGTTTTCTCATGCTTGGTTGGAAGGATGGGAGAAATGATGAATAACTACCTAAATATATAAAATATCAATTTTAACCTTTAAAAAAAATAGTTTTTTTTATAACTTTATATAATGAGGATTTAGTGGTAAAAAGATATTAAGACTCTAATTTCCTTCCTTTCCAAAAAAAAAAAACAAAAACAAAAAAAACAAAAACAAAAAGAAGAAGAAGAAGAAGAAGTATTAACCAAACAAAAAAATGGATGAGACATCTTTTCTTCCATTTTCCTTCCCCATGAATGTCTCATCCCCTCTCCCTTCATCCATTTTTCCATCATTTTACTGATAATGTTATTCTTGTGCCCCTTTTGCTTGAACTCTCTTAATCATGCTACACTTGTTGTAGAAATATTGGTTTTAAAGTTGAAGATTAAGGCTAGAATCAGCGGATGCATACGGATTCAGATGTAAATCCATATTTTAATATCAAGATTCATATTCGAATCGGATATTCCAATCTAAACATATGGAATGTGATGCACCCAACCCATTTTTTAACTCGATCCAATGTTTTGACAACAATCTCAATTACCACTTTCTGCATTTTCAGTATCAACATTAGTTGTAGACTTGTGGTTTTCCAATGGAGAACCATAACCAAATGTTATGGTTTGGATGCAAATGTGCATTTGACCTACACGCTGTTAGTTGACGGACATAAAAAAAATTTGTGAAAATTTTGTTAGACGGAAAGACTTTTTAATTTATGGGAACAAACTTATACAGTGGGTCTATTTTTATAATTTAAATAAAAAAAAATTTCATAAATTTTTAAAAATTTAAAGTATAAAATGTAAATATAATATATATATATATATATATATATATATATATATATTATTAATTTATTACCCATAAAAGGGCTCGACCACTCAAAACTCCCCTTTGGGTTGGGAACTCGTACCACCTGAGGCCCATTGGAAACAATGAAATGCATAAAACATAGTTTTTCAGTCTCAAAATCTTAGAACCTATCAAAATAATAATAATAATAAAATAAAATAAACGAAACGAAAAAAGAAATTTCTCAGATGCTGGTTGTCAGAAAAGCAGTTATACATTTCCATATTTCCTGGATACACCAAATAAATACCACATATTATCTTTATTCTAACTATTTTAAAGCCTTGTAGTTGCTCGTTATTATCAATATGTAAAATAAACATGAAAAAAAGAAGAAAAAAAAAAAAAGATGCATTCTGAAGTATCTACATGCTGCTCACATTTGAAGCTTACTAAATTTATCAGATGCATCTTTTGAGAACCTTGGCAGCGGTTATCAATGCTCCTGCTCCCTTCTTGCGGTCCTTGTCATATAATTCTATCTTAGGTTTGCCTTTAGCTGAACCAGCAAAATGACTCAATTATCAACCATCAAGCTGCCTTAATCGTGCTACAAGCTGTGAAAGATTACACGACAGAAAAAAAAAAACTAAAAGATGAATGTACAATAAGAAGCATAGATACTTGCCAACTTATGATCGATCCCAAGTACCTTTAGCTCTGTTCTCCAATCCCATAATGTTTTCTTCGCCATTTCCAAGAGCATCATATAGAATTGCTAATGCAGTTTTGGCAGCAAGAGCGTGAAAATTTTCCTTTATGTTTTGGTGCTGCCTGCCCAATTAAAGATGCATGGTAGATAAGTACGTGCTTGGGGGTTGCATGCTTTGTCTTTAAAGCTCGGAAGAGAGCCTTTTCTGCACCAAAAATTTGAACCGTACTCCCAGGTTGCTTTGCAAGATTCAATAAACTGTCCCCGTGTGCAGTAAGGCGGACACCGACTAGTTCTCCAACAAGAGCAGTAAGATTTGGCAATGGTTCTCCCTGCTCTTCAAGTAATCATACAATTGCACTCTATACTCTGAAAGAGACAGAACCTGGTCGCAGAGGTCCTTCATGTTGATCAAATCAAGCTCACTAACTTCAGTACCCATAGAAATTATGGCTGCCTCTATCAGTTCCGTCTCCACCTCTTCTGGTAATATCTGTGAACATTTAAAATGAAAATTAATAATCACCAATGCCATCATTGGCCAAAATAGAAAGTAATTTCCTAGCTCTAAAAACATAGTTTCAAGAACAAGCATCAGAAAACCTTTTTTTTTTTTTTTTTTTTTTTGATACACAACACACTTCAATAACTTAGATCAATATAAACCTAGCTGATTTCCCTATCGGTTCAATCCAACCCATAACTTTCTGTACAGACCACCAAATACCTTTTGCACAATAATTAAAGAATTACTAAAATTATGCAAGGACTACTAAACCAAAATACCATCTGATGATCTCCATGCTGCCCCGATTTGGACTCCGGAGAGGTTGCAATTTCATTTCCACCGAATCCTCATTAAACCGTGCAGGGCAGTACAATTGGGCTGAGAGTAGTGGGTGCATATGGTGCCTTTAAATATGAAAAGCAAGAATAAAATGAAGAGGAGGACTACCAAAATAAACACACACAAAGCAAATTACAGTCTTACCCAAAATTCCATCAACCATCATGTCCTCTCCATTGTTAGATTCCTAAATATCGAACATTTCAGAGTCTGAACTCTCCAAGAATGTGGAGACTGGTTTATTTTCTATTTTTATGGATTTTATTTTATTATTATTATTTTTTCTTTTTTCCGAATTCGGGTTTTGTCGGATCGAGTGAAGTGCTCGTAAATAGCTCCCAACACTTCTTTTATTTGATATTTCTATTGTCCTTATTTTTTCTCATCTTTTGTTATTTGGGGATATTTGTGCAATTAAGTTTAGAGAATATTTTAGTTCGTTGGGGGTCTTTTTGAAAATATCTTTTGCATTTTTATTAAGGGGTTTTTAAGAAAGTAACTTTGAAGATATTTTTATTTTGGGAGCAAAAGTGCGATTATCTTTTTAGATATTTCAGTGGGGACCTTTGTACAATTAATGAAAGTTAAAAACAAATTGTCTTGTTTTCGGTTAGGATTCTTGCACGGGATTCATTTTAACATTTCGTTCAGCTCGGGACTCTTAGAAATGTATTTTGGATATTTTTCCCGTTTTCGAGTTTTTGACCCAAGGAGTTGCCCTTTTTGTTCGGGATTTATTTCCCTGCTCGGGACTCATTTTTCGACGCATGCGCAGTTTCTTTCGTTGTTCAAACCAGGGTTTATCATTAGTTAAAGTAGAATAAATAGGTAAAAAAGTACCGCATTAGAAGTAGAAATCATTTCGAGTTCATATAAAATATCAAGTAAAGAGTCATACCAGACATCATCTGCATCTGCATGCTTACATAATGCAGCTTCAAAATTCTCTATATAGCACGACATACATAGAATAAAATTTGAAAGCCACTTATAAACTGTAGCTGATATAAAAGTAGGTTTATAGTAATAAAATTTTAAATTTCATGTCCATAAATCCTGCAAGACCCTGTGAAAGATTAAACCATAAAAGTCAATAATTTTAAGAGTATTTTTTATTAAAAAAAAATAGACAAAGAAAATTAAAATTTGAATTACCTTCTACATTATCTTTTTGTCTGGCTAGGATATTCATATCGGATGAAAGAGATGAACCGGCAAAATCCAGAATCACTTGATTTTTTGCTGATCGTGCAACACAGAATTCTTAATATATATATATATATATATATATATATATATATATATTAATGTTTTGTTATTTGAAAGTGAAAAACATTTCAGTTACGTGTTAGAATATAAAGTAATCTTGAAACACATCAACCAAAAAAAAAAAAAAAACCTACTTGATCTCAGTTTTTTTTATGGTCTTTCTTCGGAGGATCCATTATCTCTAGTGCATTTTCTAATTATTCCTGTAGTATTTAGAACATTAAACACAAAGCATAGTGGAGGACTACCAAAACAAACACACACAAAAGCAAATTACAGTATTACCCATAATTCCATCAACCATCATGTCTTCCCATTGTTAGATTCCTAAATATCGATCATTTCAGAGTCTTAACTCACCAAGAATGTAGAGACCGGTTCGATTTCCATTTTTATGGATTTATTTTATTATTTTTTCGAGTTCGGGTTTTGTCGGATCGGGTGGAGTCAAGTGCTTGTGAATAGTTCTCGACACTTCTTTTATTTGATATTTCTATTGTCCTTATTTTTGCTCATCTTTTATTATGTGGGGGTATTTTTGTAATTAAGTTTAGAGAACATTTTAATTTGTTGGGGTCTTTTTGAACATTAAGGGGTTTTTAAAAAAGTATCTTTTGAAGATATTTTTATTTTGGGGCAAAAGTGCGATTCTATTTTTAGATATTTCAGTAGGGGACCTTTGTACAATTAGCGAAAGTTAATGAAAATGTCCTGTTTTTAGTTAGGATTCTTGCACGGGATTCATTTTAACATTTCATTGAGCCCAAGACTCTTAGAAATGCATTTCGAACATTTTTCCTATTTTTGGGTTTTTGATCCGAGGAGTTGCCTTTTTTGCTCAGGACTTATTCACTTACTCGGGACTTATTTTTTGACGCCGTTTTATTCGTTGTTCAAACCAGGGTTTATCATTTGTCAAAGTGGAATTAATAGGTAAAAAGGCACAACATTAGAAGTAGAAATCATTACAAGTTCATATATAATATCAAGTAAAGAGTCATACGAGACATTATCTGCATCTGCATGTTTGCATAATGCAGCTTCAAAAATCTCTTTGTAACATGACATGCATTAGAATAAAATTTGAAAACTACTTATAAGTTGTAAAAAGCTGATATAAAAGTAGGTTTATAGCAATAAAATTTTAAACTTCATATGCATAAATCCTACAAGACCCTGTGGAAGATTAAATGATAAAAGTCAATAATTTTAAGAGTATTTTTTATAAAAAATAAAAAATAAATAAAATAAAAAAAAAAATAGACAAAAAAATAAAATTTGAATTACATTCTACATTATCTTTTTGTTTGGCCAGGATATTCCTATCGGATGAAAGAGAGGATATTTCTATTATCCTTAAAATAGTTCTCGACACTTCTTTTATTTGATATTTCTATTGTCCTTATTTTTTCTCATCTTTTATTATTTGGGGGTATTTGTGTAATTAAGTTTAGAGAACATTTTAGTTTGTTGGGGTAAAAGTGCAATTATCTTTTTAAATATTTCAGTGGAGACCTTTGTGCAATTAACGAAAGTTAATGCAAAATGTCTTATTTTCGACTAGGATTCTTGCACGGGATTCATTTTAGCCTTTCGTTAAGCCCGAGACTCTTAGAAATGCATTTCAGACATTTTTCCCATTTTCAGAATTCTTATCTAGGGAGTTGCCCTTTTTGTTCAGGACTTATTTCCCTGCTTAGGACTCATTTTTCGACGTTGTTTCTTTTGTTGTTCAAACCAAGGTTTATCATTTGTCAAAGTAAAATTAATAGGTAAAAAGGCAAAGCATTAGAAGTAGAAATTATTACAAGTTCATAAATAATATCAAGTAAAGAGTCAGACGAGACATCATCTACATCTGCATGTTTGCATAATGCAGCTTCAAAATTCTCTGTTTAGCATAACATGCATCAGAATAAAATTTAAAAGCTGCTTACAAGCTGTAAAAAGCTGATATAAAAGTTGGTTTATAGCAATAAAATTTTAAATTTCATGTGCATAAATCGTGCAAGACCCTATGAAAGATTAAACGATAAAAGTCAATAATTTTAAGAGAATTTTTTATAAATAAAAAAAATAAAATAAAAAAAAACTAGACAAAAAATTAAAATTTGAATTACCTTCTACATTGTCTTTTTGTTTGGCCAGGATATTCCTATCGGATGAAAGAGAGGAACCAGCATAATCCGAAATCACTTGATTTTTTGCTGGTCCTATAGCACAGAATCCTTAATATATATATATATATATATATATATATATATATATATATATATATATATATATTAATGTCTTGCTATTTGAAAGTGAAAACCTCTCAGTTACAGGTTAGAATATAGATTAATCTTGAAACACACCAACCAAAAAAAAAAAAAAACTTACTTGATCTCAATTTTTTTATGGTCTTCCCTCAGAGGATCCATTGTCCCTAGTGCGTTTTCTAGTTATTCATGTAGTATTTAGAACATTAAACACAAAACATAGTAGAGGACTACCAAAATAAACACACACAAAAGCAAAATGCAGTCTTACCCATAATTCCATCAATCATCATGTCTTCCCCATTGTTAGACTACTAAATATCGATCATTTCCGAGTCTTAACTAACCAAGAATGTAGACATCGGTTCGCTTTCCATTTTTATGGATTTTCTTATTATTTTAATTTATTTTATTATTTTTTCAAGTTCGGGTTTTGTTGGATCGGGTGGAATCGAGTGATTGTGAATAGTTCTCGACACTTCTTTTATTTGATATTTCTATTGTCCTTATTTTTTCTTATCTTTTATTATTTGGGGATATCTGTGCAATTAAGTTTAGAGAACATTTTAGTTTGTTAGGGTAAAAGTGCAATTATTTTTTTAGATATTTCAGTGGGGACCTTTGTGCAATTAACGAAAATTAATGCAAAATATTTTGTTTTCGATTAAGATTCTTGCACGGGATTCATTTTAGCCTTTCGTTGAGCCCGAGACTCTTAGAAATGCATTTTGGACATTTTTCCCGTTTTCAGAACTCTTATGTAGGGAGTTGCCCTTTTTGTTCAGGACTTATTTCCCTGTTCGGGACTAATTTTTTGACGCTGTTTCTTTTGTTGTTCAAACCAAGGTTTATCATTTGTCAAAGTAAAATTAATAGGTAAAAAGGCACAACATTAGAAGTAGAAATCATTACAAGTTCATATATAATATCAAGTAAAGAGTCAGACGAGACATCATCTGCATCTGCATGTTTGCATAATGCATCTTCAAAATTCTCTGTGCAACACAACATGCATCAGAATAAAATTTGAAAACTACTTGCAAGTTGTAAAAAACTGATACAAAAGTTTGTTTATAGCAATAAAATTTTAAATTTCATGTGCATAAATCGTGCAAGACCCTGTGAAAGATTAAATGATAAAAGTCAATAATTTTAAAAAAAAAATTTATAAAAAAAAAAAAAAAACAAACAAAAAATTAAAATTTGAATTACCTTCTACATTGTTTTTTTGTTTGGCCAGGATATTCCTATCGGATGAAAGAGAGGAACCAGCAGAATCCAGAATCACTTGATTTTTTGTTGGTCCTGTAGCACAGAATCCTTAATATATATATATATATATCTTGCTATTTGAAAGTAAAAACCTCTCAGTTGCAGGTTAGAATATACACTAATCTTGAAACACACCAACCAAAAAAAAAAAACTTACTTGATCTCAATTTTTTTATGGTCTTTCCTCGGAGGATCTATTATCCCTAGTGCGTTTTCTAGTTATTCATGTAGTATTTAGAATATTAAACACAACGTATAGTAGAGGACTACCAAAACAAACACACACAAAAGCAAAATGCAGTCTTACCCATAATTCCATCAATCATCATGTGATCCCCATTATTAGACTCCTAAATATCGATCATTTCCGAGTCTTAACTAACCAAGAATGTAGAGATCGGTTCGCTTTCCATTTTTATGGATTTTCTTATTACTTTAATTTATTTTATTATTTTTTCAAGTTCGGGTTTTGTCGGATCTGGTGGAGTCAAGTGCTCGTGAATAGTTTTCGACACTTCTTCTGTTTGATATTTCTATTGTCCTTATTTTTTCTCATCTTCTATTATTTGGGGGTATTTGTATAATTAAGTTTAGAGAACATTTTAGTTTGTTGGGGTAAAAGTGCAATTATCTAATTAAATATTTCAGTGGAGACTATTGTGCAATTAACGAAAGTTAATGCAAAATGTCTTGTTTTCGGTTAGGATTCTTGCACGGGATTTATCTTAGCCTTTAGTTGAGCCCGAGACTCTTAGAAATGCATTTCGGATATTTTTCCCGTTTTCAAAATTCTTATCTAGGTAGTTGCCCTTTTTGTTCCGGACTTATTTCCCTGTTCAGGACTCATTTTTCAACGTTGTTTCTTTTGCTGTTCAAACCAGGGTTTATCATTTGTCAAAGAAAAATTAATAAGTAAAAAGGCACAGCATTAGAAGTAGAAATCATTGCAAGTTCATATATAATATCAAGTAAAGAGTCAGACTAGACATCATCTGCATCTACATGTTTGCATAATGCAACTTCAAAATTCTCTGTGTAGCACAACATGCATCAGAATAAAATTTGAAAGCCACTTACAAGTTGTAAAATTCTTATATAAAAGTTGGTTTATAGCAATAAAATTTTAAATTTTATGTGCATAAATCGTGCAAGACCTTATCAAAGATTAAACTATAAGAGTCAAAAAAATTAAGAGTATTTTTTTAATAAAAAAAAAGGCAAAAGAATTAAAATTTGAATTACATTTTGCATTGTCTTATTGTCTGGCTAGGATATTCCTATCGGATAAAAGAGAGGAACCAGCAGAATCCGGAATCACTTGATTTTTTGCTAGTCATGCAGCACAGAATCCTTAATATATATATATATATATGAAAGTGAAAAATCTCTC